ACTCCACAAAGTTTGCTGATTAGACCTAAACTGTTACATAAACAGATGAACTTTTCTCTATTTTTAAAATGTATTCCAATAAAGGTGACATTTTGAAGACATTATTGATATTCAAATCATTTCCAAACAAAACCCATCTTCTTTATTAAATATCTAAAACACCAAATTATTCTGTTCTACTCTGAGTTCTGTGAGAGCAAAGATGACACATCTCTCCTGGAATATAATGGGCAGCTTCACAAAATTTCATTTCACGAATGACAGATAGAAGAGGTGACTATTCTTTAAAGTCATTTCATACTACTTGACGACAGATATGTAGAAAAGACAAGCTCTAATATTCTTATTGCCACGTAACAGCACTAATCTAAAATTACTATTAAGAAAATATAACTCCAAATAGTTTTTTATACCACCTTGAGAACTTTGAGCTTGGCTGGGATGCCAGCAATGTATTTGCCATCCAGGCAAAGATGTTAATTTATCATGGTGAATTTCTCCCCCTCTCCTGGGAAATACATGTGTGCAGGGCAGGAGGCAATAACAGCTCTTAGCATCCTCGGCTAATTGAAGCTTCGCCTGTGAGAACCCAGTGGCCTACAGCTTGAGGGACCAGAAAGACTGCACAGCTGCCTAAATTGATCCATTCACCTGCTGTCTCGCCCTGTTCCACGTGCCAATCTCATCGTCCTGCTTCACTGCATGAGGGAAGGAGCGGAGCATGGGCACCTGAGCCATGAGCAGGCTCATGCACCATGGACTTCTTACCAAGACATGGCTGTGTCAAAATAGAGCTTGGGAATTCCCTGGCACTCCAGTGGTTAGGACTTGGCACTTTCACTGATGCAGTCTGGGTTCGATCCCTGGCTAGGGAACTAAGATCTCACAAGCCATGCGGCCAAAAATAAATAAATAAATAAAGCCACCTTTAAACCAAAGAAAAAGAAAAGGAAGCCTTTACTACAAGTATTAAAAAGGAGTGACCACAAAGAAGACAAAAGAGAGAGAAAGCTATGCTCCATAGAAATGCCATATAGTCCTTTCCTGTCAGTGATAACCTAGTGGATTCTAGGTGACAATTAATTACTCTTCCCCTATGACTGCTGCAAAATGTAAAGACGCTAAATGTCTAAGATGCACCATGAATATGATGACCAGATTCTCTGACTTGGGTAGCCGAGGAAGCTGATCTTCTCCCGCCGCCAGCTGCCACCATAGTGTGCCGGCCAGCACAGTGCCCCGGGGAAGAATGAGCCTGGTGCAGTTTCTCAATGCCCAATTCTGAGGTCCTCCCACAGACTCAGGGATGCACTAGAGTTGGCTACAAACAGAGCGAATTTGGTCTGAGAAAAAGCCTGCAGAATCTGGGAGTCAGAAGAACTGATCAGCAACCATGTTTTGATACATTTTCAAAAGCAGTTTTGGGAATTCTCAAATGAGCGGGATTTCGCTCTGGCCCCTAAACAACATATTCGCACACAGAGGCATGAAATGCAATTTCTGGGTGTTGTTTTTTTTTAAACAAACACAAATCTTAATAAACTGGTGCCTTTTGCCAGCCAAGCACTCTCTCTTTGTCCTCTCCAGGCAGCGTGATGGCAGCCGTTTGCACTCAGCAGTTATATATCACCCGAGCACTTCTAGAATGTAGCAGTGGGAGCACGATTCAGGTCTTGGCTTGCAGGCTCGGTGGCCTCTCATGCCCGCCTCCCCCACCCCAGCATGGACGGATGTAGTGAATCAGAAGGTGTCCCTTCTAGCCACTGACGGCTCCTCCTGACGTTTATTCAGCAGGCCCCCAGAGTACTCCCACCCTGCTCAGCTTTGCAGTGATTCCCGCCTTGGCAATGAGACACCCCTTTGCCACCCAGCCACCAGACCTTCTCCTGGTAAGCATAAAGCTTCAGGGAAGTAGAATTCTATTTCTCTCCCAACGGCTGCGGCAACCCTGGCCCAATCACTCATTCAAACACATGTGTAAAAATGACTGGAAACGGCGATGATGTAGGTGATAACACCAGTGAGCATCCATGGAGTGTTCACTTTGTGGTAATGACTTACATGAAATACCTCACTGTGCTTTTGCAAAAAAAAAAAACAAAAACCTTGCTCATGATGTCGCAGTCAATAGAGCCAGGGCTGTGGAATCAGCCCAAGCTGGAGCAAGATCCCTGCTGTATCACTAAAGAGTCCAATGACCTTGAGAAAGTCCTTCAACCCCTTCGGGCTTCTGTCTCATCTGATAAATGGGGAGACTTCTGCCCACTCTGCCTTCTTGCTACCGACAGCACAACTTTACAGAGACATAGCAGAGATAAGGGATGGCAAAGCTCATCAGGAACCGGAATGCACTCTCCACACAGACAAGGCTGGGAGAGGCTCAGGTCCAAGGTCATGCAGCTGGCTCACGGCTGGCCTGGAACTGAGGCCCAGGCATCAGAACTCCCAGGCCTAACAGACAGAACTGCTGTCCCGCTCAGCTCAGCGGACCACACAGCCCACCAGCAGCTGGCATGGAAGGCTGCTCCACACAGGAACTCCCCACGGCTGACTTTCTGTCTCCTGAGACCAGCTCCTCGGCCTCATGCATCACCGCCAGCACAGATGCTTCTGTCTCTAAATTTTCAACATACACACACACTCTCACTGTCACACACTTGTGCACACCTTCTCTCACACAGATTGGCAGAGTTCACAGAACTGGTCCTGTAAGCAGTCAGCATCCTGGGAAATTCGGGAACCCTCCAGCTATGAGTACTCTTTAAGATGAAGATTTCCAGAGGTAGGTAGGAATTAAGGAAATAAAGTACCCTTGGGGTAGCCACATGTTTCTCTAGCAAATTTTACTTCATTTTGGTGACTATCAGAAGATCCAAGTAACTCCGACTCTTTAGAAAGTGATTCTTCCTTTATTAGACTAGATGGCACTGTGGTATCACCCTTTTGATGACCAAGGAAATCGTATTTCATTTCAAATAATTTTGCTTCCACTGGGGACTGTCCAAGAGGCTAAGCCCTCCCCTTGAGGGGTCCTTGTTATCATATGGAAATTTTCTGAAGGAATCTGCCAGAGGACAGTGGCCATCAAATACACAAGATCACACTAATAATAATGTGTGTTTACACACTATGTCACACTACCTGTCCAAAGGGATTTTAAAAGGCACATGTGCCTCGTGGAACTCCAGAGAGGGCCGGGGAGTCCATAGTGGCCAAGACTTCATCTTTCCTCCTCTGCCACAGCCGTGGCTATGGAATTCGATTTTTGCCCTCAAGAGCTTTTTTTATATCAGCACCTCTCACTACACCTACAGGCTCCATCAGCAAGAGGAATTATTTTCAATATTGCCAAATTGTTTGTGAACATCTTCAACCCTAAAGTCTTGTAGTGACAATGGCTTACACAATTCTCACAATGGATTGATGTGGCAACCTTCCTAAGGTCAAGGTTTGCTTAGGAGGTTGGGGACAGGGGAAGTTAGTGCTGGAAGGGAAATGAGAGTTCAACAGATTCTCCCAGAATTCCAGCATTCAGAAAGAACACTGTAAACTGAGGGATGGGAAAGTAAGTAGGGAGTGAGGTTTCCTCTAAATCTCAATGATGACCAGAAAGTTGGAGGGCTCCATTCGTCTGGGGCTGGACAGAAAAACCCACATTGGCTGTTGCATTCCGAGAGGTACCAACAAAAGGTGACAGTGTCTGGGACAGAGCAGCCATCCCCATGAGAAGGGAATGGGGAATCTGTCCAGGGAAGCAGCCTCTGTAGCAGCAGCAACCTCCTGTGGTCAGCTCGGTGAAGAGACAGAGAGCATGGCCATGTCAACTAAACTCACCTTATCCATTCCCGGCATCCCCTGCAGCAGCCCGCTCTGTTTTATAGAGACCAGCAGAATGGGAGCCCTGACTGGGGCAACTGCACCCCAAAGAGTCCTTCCTACTCCCCCCTTTATGGCACTCCCTGACCGCCAGCAACCAGGCATTGCAGCTGGCTGGAGGAAAATGCCCTCGCTTCAAAAGTGACAGGCTTTTCATAAAACAGCTCTTTCAGCATCAGCCCTAGGTTCCCAGCAAGAGGACTGGCAGTGCCCTGCTCTAGGGCTCAGGAATTTGTAAATCAGGAGAGGTTTCTCAAGACTGAGCCCCACTCCGGATCCGCAGCAGCGTCCCAACCCGCCCTTCGGCCCGCGAGGTGCCCCCTTGCACTCGTAAGGCGCAGGGGATGCCCCGCGTGCAGCCAGTAGCCAGGGACGCAAGCTCTCTCTGGGTGTCCGCAAGCAGCCGCAGAGGGACATTCATTCGCCCAAGGAGAGTAGAGCCAACGGAAAGAAAGGAGGAGCGAAGCGACAAGAGTACGGAAGGAAGAGGGGGGAAAAAAACATAAAAGGTTAAAGAAAGGACGGGAAGCAAAGTGAGAAAGCAAAACGGAGGGAGAAGGAAAGAGCAAGCGGCCAGGAGCTGACAAGATCCCAAGCAAGAAAAGAGAGGCGAATAGTCGAAGCGAGGGGAAAGGCCGAGGAGGAGGGGGAAGAATGCGGGATCGTCAAAGAAGAGAAAAGGCGGCTTGGGAAGCTGGGTGCAGAGAAGAGAGAGGCTGGAGGGGCTTAGGCACGCTACGCGAAAAGCGCGGCTCTTTCCGGCGCTCCAGTGCGGAATCTACATTCGGTACTCTGTCCCGGCGGCTGCCGGGGGGCGCAACTCCCGGGCCTCCCGGCCGCTTCCCCCCGCGCACTCCGAGGCGCCAAGCAGGCCAACCCGTGTGCAGACACAGGAGCCGTCACGGGAAGGAATGGACGAGCCGCCACAGCGCCGTGCTCCCACGCGCCAGGGCGCCAGGCGCCTGCCCAGCCCAACCCGGGCGCCACTGCAGGGACGCCGAGGTGCTCCCTGGGTCACCCGCACCGATCGGCCGCGCCTTCCGATCCTCTGCCCGCCCGCCGGGCCGGGTCAGCACCCCGGCTCGGCTCCGGGAGGGCCCGCTCGGCCGCGGGCGCTCACTCACCTGGACGGTCTCAGCCTGGCGTCGCGCTTGCCGTCCACCACGGCGGGCACGCAGCTGGTGAGCTCGGTCCAGTCGGCGTGCAGTCCGCAGCTCCAGCCCGTGGAGAACCTGGAGAAGAGCCAGGTCTCCCGCTTACCCGGCCGGTGGCAAGTGCATTTCTTCTGACCCACGCGGCACTCACACGGCTGCTCCAGCTGGATGTTGCGCACCAGGTGGCGGCCGAAAGTGGTGCCTCCGGTCTTTTGGATGTGCAAGAACACGATCAGGTCATCGCCCTTGATGTCGAAGTCTACCTTGCGCAGAAGGTCGCCACGGCTGAAATTGTAACGGGGCACGAACCTGGCGGAGCTCTCATCCTCCGAGCGGTACGGGTCCGGCAGCGGGGAGCTGAACGCCTGCAGACGGAGGAGCTGGCATTCTGTGCCGGGGCACACGTATTGGAGGACGATCACCGCAAATAGGAAGAGCATCACCAAAGCCAGCAGCAGCTTGTTGGATTTCTCATCCATGTTCCCGACGCTGGGGGAAACCCAAGCTCCTTACGTCAATCCCGCAGCTCAGCCCGCGCTCGCCGCGCGCCCGCACCGCCCCCTCCCCTGGAGCCGCGGTTGCTCCCCTTTCCCCCTCCCTTCGGCACCGAGTACTCCACCGCGGCGGCGGCGGCGGCGGCGGCGCCCTTCCCCGCTTCCTTCCTTCCCGGCAGGCTCAGCGCTGTGGCTTCTGCCGCACACCCCTCCTCCCCCCACCCCCGACTCCTTACCGCTGGCCGCCTGCCCTCTCCCCGCACCGGGGCTCTCTGGAGCGGCTCCGCGGGGTTTCGTCCCCGTGGGACCCCGCCTGCCCCGGTTGCCCCACTCCTCAACTCATAGCACGGGTCCGAGCCTCCGCGCATCCCGTTCCACTCTCGGTGGCTCCGTGGCTCCCATCCCCATCCCGCTTCGCCCACCGGACTCTCCCCGGGGCTTCTGCCCCCAGTCCCCTTGGCGCGCACGCCACCACCTCCTCGCCTGCCCGATCTCGGGCTCCTTTACCGTGCGCCTCCGAAGCCCTGCTCTTGCCCGCATCGGGTTGCCCACCTTGGGGGCCGCCTCGAGGGAGCTCAGAGCCCGGCGTTCGGAGTTCCTCTGGGGGAAGGGGGTCCGCGAGCAACCCGACTTGCTAGCTGAGATGCTGTGCTCAGGGTGCCCGCGGAAGCGCGGGGAAGGAGCCGCAGCGGAGCCAAACGCGCGCCGCTCCCCTTCCGAGCCCCCGAGCCCGGCCGCCGCGGGCCAGCCGGAACTTTGCGCCCTTTCCTCTCCTCGCGGTTGCTTTCCCTTCCCGCACCGCTCCCGCGCGCCCTGGCCCGGAAGCGCGAGTCCCGCTTTCGCCTAAAACGTACCTGGCTAGGGGACCGAAAATCTTGGAGAATATCGCGCCGAGCACGTGCTTCAGAGAGTGGCCCAGGGCGGCCAGGCCCCGGGTGAGCAGGGCCCGGCAGAGGGAGCCCAGGTCCCAGCGTCTCCTGAGGTCGTGCATCCGCCTGCGGCGGCCTCGGAGCAGTAGCGCGAAGAGAGGGGCGCGCGCGGCTCCCGCCAGAGAAGCAGCAGCCTTTAGGGGCTCGTCCAGGAGCGGCTGGGAGTTGAATCCGCGAGACACACCCCTAGGAGGGCCCGCGCGGACTGAGGCGGCGACTGATCCGGGCCGGCTTGCTGCCAATTCGGCCTCTACTCTGGAATGCCGGCGGGGACAGGTGGTGCGGGCGGGCGCTCCTCGCTCCGGTTGCAACGGCGGCCCGAGCGCCCCGGCTGCACACGCAGGCAGTGCCATTCCCCCCTTCAGGCAACTCGGGGTACTAAGGATCAGGAGCGAGCTTGAATTTATGTAATAATGCCTCACGCCTAAGAGCTCAAACCACTTAAGCAAAAGACCTGGCTTTTCTCCGGTTTGGGGGGACGGAGGTCACTCTAGTGAGCACATCACTACACTTTGGCTCGTAATTTCAGCCTCCCCTAAAATAGCAAAGGCGCAGATTGGGCCTTTTCCCTCTCTCCTTGCCAATTTCCATTCTACAGCGGAAGCGGGGGCATTTTCTGAAAAGGTAAGTCAGCATGAAGGAAAAAGCATGACCAAAAAAAAAAAAAAAACACGTTTCAGAATGAGAATTTGAGCTTTTTTAGAGCAGGGACTGGTCCATACTTCCCTATTCTTTCTCAATACCCAGCATCAAGCCCGGTGTCTACAGGAAGGCTTCACTCATAAAATTCGTTAAAAGAAAGGCACATGATTAAATACTACATGGAGGTGGGGGGGCATCTAATCCAAGGTGGTGTGACAAATGAGGAAGCAGGCCCAGAGAGGGAAAGGAATGTGCCCAAGGTCACACAGCAGAGCCTGAGGGTTTGAACCCAGGAAGCCATCCATTTCCTAACACCACCTCTTTTAATAAACAGGTGCAGAGCGCCCTCAAGCCAAGTGTCCTGAAAGGCTCTATTCAGCTGCAGGACCAGCACTGTGAGGATTGGCAAGGAAAGAAGGAATGTCCCTTTAGAACAAGGTCCCAGGACTCAGGACTCTTGACTATTCCCATCTGATTGATCAGGTATTGGGAACTGGTATTTCTGTGAGTGAGTGTCCACCGGTGTCCAGTCCCACCTCTGCAGAAGGAGCTCGGGCTGGCAGTGGTGTCTCAGAACAGTGTTGTTGGGGAGGTGGGGGCCCGTGAGCAGAGTCCTGGTGGTGGCCGTAAGTCCCTCCAGAGACAGGCGCTCCCAGGATCTCCCTTAGAACATTTGATCCCTTGCTGAGCTCTGTTCATCCCTCATCTATTCTCTCTGTGCAGTAAGGCAGCGAGCACTGGTCTCCAGACCTGAGATTCTGTCATTTGCTTGCTGGGCAGCCTTGGGATTATGACTTGCCCGTCCTGAGCCTCACTTTCCTCTGCTGTAAAATAGGACTAATTCCTTTCTGACCATCTGGGTCACTGTCAGGATGGCCTTTGATGTTGATGTTTAGTCTCTACATCTGACTCTTTGCGACCCCATGGGCTGTAGCCCGCCAGACTCTTCTGTCCATGGGATTTCTCCAGGCAAGAATACTGGAGCGGGTTGCCATCTCCTCCTCCAGGGGATCTTCCCGACCCAGAGATTGAACCCCGATCTCTTACATCTCCTGCATTGCAGGTGGATTCTTTACTGCTGAACCACCAGGGCTTCCCAGAGATGGGTTTGGGCAATTCCAAATATGAGGCAGTGTTTACCTCCTGCTCTAAGCTCAGATGTGCCAACTGAGTCATGGGCCAGTGAAGGCAGAGGCCCTTCTCAGATTTCACAGCTGTGCCCTTTGCCCTTACCCCTCCTCCCCAGACGTCCCCAGTCCTGGTTGGACTTCCATGTGACCCCCAAGCTACTGGGGACAGTGAGAGTCCCTTTGTCTGGTGGCAAGCATGAGGGATTCTTGAGAATCCTGCATTTCAGGCATTTCACCTATCTGGGTGTCCTGCGGAGGGATGGGGGGGTCAGGTGATGGGTGAAGGAGTCAGATGCAGCAACTTTCAAGGCAGACCTCTTGGCCTCCCAGAGAGCTCCCCAGATGCCCCCAGGCTTGTGGGATGCATCTGCAAGGGCAGGTGAGGGGAGAGCCAGGGGAGCCATGAGGATCGCTAAGGAGCTCAACCTGCCAGTTGTCCCTACCTGTTCCCAGGCCACCCATTCGACTCCTTTGGTCTCTTCAGTAGGTGGCTCTCTTCATGGTGCCATATGAGGACCACCTCCCACCCACCAATACATTCAGTGGGTCCCCAGAGAAACACTTCTAGAACACAGTGGGTCACACATTCATGCCCCCACTGACTCTTAAGACCTCTGGAGTTCCTGCTCTAAGAGATATCAGTGGGACTGGAACATGGGAAGGTGCCTTGGATGGGGGTGGGGGACTGGTAACCAATACAGGAAATAGTCAGGATTTACTCATTTAGGTCATAAAGAGGAACACATACACACAGTCAATCTGATTCTCAGAGGAAGGGGCAGTCAGGTTGATAGTTTTGCTCTGCTCAAAGAAGGAGCAGAATGAGGCTGTGAAGTCCGGCTTCTGAGATTGGATGCGTGTGCTCATTCACTTAGTCATGTCCGACTCTGCGACCCCACGGACTGTAGCACGCCAGGCTCCTCCGTCCATGGGATTCTCCAGGCAAGAATACTGGAGTGGGTTGCCGTTTCCTCCTCTAGGGGAACTTCCCGACCCAGGGGTCAAACACATCACCCGAGTGTCCTGCATTGGTAGGCAGATCCTTTACCACTGAGCCACCTGAGTGTATTCTAGTGTAACTATATATACCAGCTCACTGGAGGGTATTTGCATTTCTGAGATGTTTCTCTAAATTTATCCTGTAAGAAAAATAAAGAAATTACTCTCTTGTGGTGGATTTCATATATCTGGGTTCCTAAAAGTGAGAAGAAACTCTCTGTGGGGGAGTAGGGAACAAGTCTCAGAGGACTGTTCCTGGGGTGAAGAGGATTCCTGCTAAGAAGAGGGAATTCTTCCCGTGTGTGTCCTGAGAGCCACGTTCTCCTGAGGCCATGCCTGGGCCTTCGTAGGACATTCCAAGACCTCTTGCACTGCTGGGCTGGGCCCATCTTCCAGGAACTGGTTCCCCTCGGGAATTGAGTAACAAAGATCCTGATATTCTAGAAGGGCTTCCCAGATGGTGCTAGTGGTAAAGAATGCACCTGAAATGCAGGAGACATAAGAGATGCAGGTTCGATCCCTGGGTCAGGAATGGCAACTGACTCCAGTATTCTTGCCTGGAGAATCCCATGGACAGATGAGCCTGGTGGGCTACAGTCCATGGGGTCGCAAAGAGTCAGACACAACTGAAGCGACTTAGCATGCATGCTCATACTCTGAAATCAGCCCTCTTTTGGAGACTGGGATGAGGAACAGGCCTATGGTTTTGCATCTTCTTTCTTAGGGCAGCCTGAGTGGTCGTCTGTGTATATATTTGGGATTCAGGACCTGGAGCGTGAGGAGGACTCTGCAGTCTGAGCAGGGCCTCTGGTTGTCTCCACAGTGTGCCATTCTTTTCATCATTTATCCAGAACCTTGTCCTCCCATGGTTTCCACAAAAGGTTGCCGATGGGAGCATAAAGGTCAGGCTGGCTTGCATACTAAGCATACTAAGCAGTGCTCCCAGTTTTGCATTTGGTTGCGGGTGTCTGAGAGGAGGGCAGGAAGTGTTTGAGAGAGCCCTGGCCTGGGAGTCCAGAGACTTGGGTTGCCAAGAACAGGACCCTGTATGACCATGAGGAAGACACCTGTTCGCTCTTGGGCTCAGTTGCCCTATTTGTAAGTCACCATCGGTGTTATGCCCCAAGGGAATTGTCCTGCTCTAATATGGTAAGTCACTTGCTTTTCTTGTCTTCTTCAAGGGCCAGAGTGCTGCCAAACTCTCAGCGCCTCATCGCAGGGCGTAGCCCAGTCCTTCCTGCTTTCTGTAACAGTCACATGGTGGGGACCCATTAGGCCATCAGCAGCTGGACTTGTCCTGAGCCTATGTGACAGGGGTAACAGCAGGGTCCCCTGTTCAAATTGAAACAGAAACAGTGGAAACTTAATGTCAGATAAAGTGCTGGCAAATAACTGAAGTAAATAAATTTATTTTTAAAAGTGCTGGCATTCTTTATAGAGTATAAAACACTAAGGAAATATGCTTTCCCCTTACCCCGAGCATTTGCATCAAAGCTGTCTTTCCAGCTGTCGCTAATTAAAAAAAAAAAAAAACTCATACTCTCAATTATAGGTGATTTTTGTCACCAAGATTGAAGACATGCAAACTGTTGTCACTTCGTTGCTGTTTTTCTGCATCTCTCCAAACGGAATGAACAGCATTGCTTCATGAAAACACTGCTCCAAAATTTGACTTTAATATTCTAAACAGGTTCAGTATGTTATAGACAGCACTCTCAATGGTTGTCTATTTTTCTCCCATGAAGCACTGAATTTATCTGTTTAGCCTTTAAAAAAAAACACATGGGGTTGAAGGAATTAAAAGAGGAGGAGGATGTAGGGGTAATGTGTATACTGAATGAACATGTGCTGCAAAGGCAAGAGAAAGAAGCACTGGACCACGGTTCATGGTCAACTCTGAACATCAGACCCATGGCTGCCCTTCTCCTGATGAGAACTGCCCACCATTTCCCCAACAGTGAAACCCCCATTTCTCACCGACAGCCTTTGGAGGAGTCTGTTCAGGCAGGACTTTGAAAGCCATGGTGAGCCAAGGCCTGGCAACCACGAGGGGCAGCAGGTCAGACTCCACTCCTGATACAGTCATGTCTCTTATTTGGACCTCAGTCTCCACTCATTAAATAGCCTGACCAGGTACCTTCCAAAAGCTGGCTTTGGGGTAGAATAAAGAGGAAGCCAATCTCAAATGAGTTTATTTTAAAAAGGAGAGGGCATGGGTTTGGAGAGCACCTTGCCCTGGGGTTTCATCAGGGCTCTCTGAGCTGTCTCAGAGCCTCAGTTTTCTCATCCTTGAAAATGGGGCTATAACAGCCTCACTAGGCTGTAATATGAGTTCACTAAAACAATCTGTGGGAGGTACTCAGTTGAGTTCCTAGAAAGAGTACACCTTGTGTAAATGTCCATTTCTCTTCGCTTTCAACTCTGAATATCTTTGGTTTGAGCTCTTGGTTTATATTTCCCACAACAGTAACATACACATATTTAATGACGGGGGTGGGGCTGGCTCTGCCCCGACCCCATTTTCTTTGCCTGCCTTCTTGTCTCACCCTCCCTTCACATCTCTCCAGTGCTTTCCGGGGCTG